TATTATTTATTAAAAAAAACTAGCATATTCCACAGGGCTGTACAATAGGTGGACTAACAAATAAGTAATTGCAACAAGATAACCTGGACTTACAAGAACAGAAGAAGCTAAGGGTCATTATCAATAAAGGTGTATATTTCTATGAAATACAACATACAAAGGTACCTTATTCACTTATAACATACAAGTTGTTTAAACTACCCAAATACAAAAAAGAATCACCATTTAGTACATACGCTCCAAATGAAAACATACATAGATTTAATTTAGATTTTTTTATTGGGGGTATATTTAAAAACAACTCACAGCCTGCTTGTCTGCAGCCTTTGCTAGTTCTCCCCTTCTAACTCCTCCCAGACTTTATGTGACTGTCCAGTCACAGACTTCCCAAATGCAGGTAAATGAGACGTCTTTGCAAAGTCTGAGCAATTGACTGTGTCTTGAGTTTAGCTCCACTGAGCTAACCAACCAGGAAGTAACAGGACCAGATGTCTGCTTTAAAGCAGGGTGGGGTGGGGGGGAGGGGAGAGGGGTGAATCCAGGTTCATTTATTAAAATGCAGGTTTCTATTAAAATATGCACTGTTAGTAAGCTTTAAAAAAAAAAAAAGAGAGATTGCAGTACGTAAAAATAGCGGTGTTAGATTTAGGTTTTGGTAATAATACTTCTATGGATCAAAGGCATTATGTAGTTTGGTATGTCTTACTGTATATGGGAAAAGTATTTACAACCATGTGCAATTTAGAACTGTTTGGGGGAAATATCCTGATTGTTACGGTACATATTTTTCTTCTTTGAGCACCAACATCAGTCAGTGGGTGGACTATATAATTATTACAAATAAGTATTGGAGTGTTTCAACCAGCTCCAAGAAATTGTTACACTGGCATTTGAGTAGATGTGGCTAGTAAATGCTATTTTTCTACATAACATTTACCTGGTGCTAACATTTTTAATGCTGGCCCATAATAACTCATAACATTTCTCAATTTATTAGGGGCATATCTTATCTTATCGATTTAGCCTCTGTATTCCTACTCAACAGAACTACTACCGATATAATCATAATAATATCAATTTATAGAACTATGTTAGGAAAATATATCTTTCAATTACTTTTTTTTTTTGTAAATATATTTTTATTGGATATTTTTAATTTTTCAGTTTTGATCATGTCATAAGAAAACTTCGGCAAGGACACGCAGGTCCCGTTAATTTTGCATGTTAACTATCGCATTGGAAAAAATGCTGATCTTGTAGGCACTGCGCAGTACTAGTCGTGGTTGTCAGGTCTGTCTGGTATAGTCTCTAAGTCTAGTGGAGTGGTAGAGTCTGTCGCAGTAGTGGGGATGATCCCTTGGGACCAGATCTCCATGTACGCTTTGATGGCATTAACTGCCCCCATATGTAGCTCATCTGTCACCCTGGGGACTGTCATTTGGGTGAACCATGTCTGGAGTGGGGGGAATTCTCTCCTGTTTCCAGTATTGGGGTATAGCATATTTGGCTATGTGCAGAATTCTTTGTTAGTGGGTATATTTGTACTGTGTTTACGTAGTTACATCATTCAATAGCGGTGAAAAGTATTAACATGTATGGGACATGCAGGTCCCGAAAGAGGTCCCATTTATTAAGGCACACAGGCCTCCTTTTCCCTAAATAAACAGTATGGTAGATTCGCAGGTCTCCGTTAATTAGGCATCTTAAATTTGTAAGGGTTGCGCAGTACCCTATTGGTTGCTCAGAGGATGGTAAGAGAGACTAGTTTTAAAACCTTGCTGTGTACAGGTGTCTGATAGAGTGTCAGTATTTACAGGTAAGGTTGGCTCTGGTTCGTCGTAAAAGTGCGTTTGAAGGGTAGAGTAAGATGTGTGGCTCCTTTCAGGAGTGATGGGTGAGGGATGAAGGATGGGGGGGATTGTCACTGTCCTGGGTTCTCCTGTGTGTGAGGTGTGGGACTGACTTGAGCATTCTAGCTGTAGTCTGCTGTGTCCTTGTGTGTTGTGGCCCTTTGGCATCTTTGATGTCGTATGGGTCTGCACTCAAGCTGGGTGCCGTCTACGCCGGTGTCGGGTAGTAGGGCTTTATCTCGTCCTCCCTTTGGGCCCGGTATTTAGCGTTGTTAATGTCGGCCCCAGTCACAAAGTTTGTCTGTGAACCCGGCTCCCGCCGTTGTCAGTATCCAGTGTGTCCATGTGTCCAGGTTTTGTTGTGTTCTGTCCTTAGATTTCATGTGTATGTCTTCCATCCCCCTTAGGGCCTCCATTTGTGTGAACCACTTGTCCAGTGTAGGTGCATCCTTGCTCTTCCTGTGTTGTGGGATGAGCTGTTTTGCTACATTAAGTATCCTAATAGTAATTGATCTTTTGTATCTATTACTAGTGTGATGGTGGAGCATTGCAGCAGGGTCAAAGGGTGTTTCAATTACTTTTTAAGTACATCCTTGGGTCTAGATGATATTTCCCCACTTGATGGTACTTCAAAGGATAAAAGATTAACTGTGGAATTAGTTGGCGCTATATAAATGCCAATAATAATAATAATAATAATAATATTAACTTTACTGATAATCAGACCTGTGACTCTGAGACACTGAAGCCAGAGTCCCACCATTTGAAAGATAACTCAGCTGTTTTAGGAAAGCTTTGCAAAGTAGTGGATATCCACGGATGTAGAACACAAGAAAGAATGCAGCTGTCTATGATATTTTTAGAGAAGCATTTTTCTTTGGTTTTGAAACTTTTGCAAGGGGGGGAGGTATAGGAAAAGGAAAGTTAATTATGTTGATATTTGTTTTTCATTTTGTAAGGTGGCATACCTCCCTACTCCAGCATCCTGTGTATCAGGACGCCAGTGGGAGGGGAGGAAAGGGGGCAGAACCTGCCTGAAGGATTGGCAGGCCAACCTGGCAGGAACGCATGCCAGGCTGTCTGTCTATCATTCAGTCCCGTCCACTGGGGCAGACCATGCAGGGAGCAATTTTCTTTGCTCGCTGCGGGGTCGTAGCTCCCTGAGCTTAGTCGAAGCACGTCTAATTATGTGCTCCTGTAACGATTGTTGGGGCAATTCCCTGATGTTCTCAAAAAGGAACCATGGAACAGTGTTGGAATAAAGGGACAGAACCATAAATGGGGATGTCTTTCTAATATCAGGAGGATTGGGAGGCCTTGGGCCCTGCTTGATGTTGGTGGACTCCAACTAACAGACTTCTATGAACCCCCAGATGTTGGTGGACTCCAACTAACAGACTTCTATGAATTCTGCAACTCCCAGAATTCTATGAATACAATAGATGTTTAGAGAATCATGTGAGTTTTAGTTCAGCAGCAAGTAGGGGCTATTGTTTGAAATGCTTGAAATGTAGTGAATTAAAAATTTAAATTGAAATATTTAGGCTAAAATAACCCATCTGTGACATAAGCTGAGATGGATAACTTCTTATTTTTCTAACTGAGTGTATAACTGCCCACCAGGCTGTCTACTAATCAAGCAGGCCTGCCCACAAGGGAGGACCATTTAGAGAGCCCTGTGCCAGCACTCAATGCAGGGTTCCTGAATGTAGTGCGAGTGTCCAAAAGTTGTACAGGACCCTAAAATGGAACAGTTCTGCTAAAATTGGAATGACTGGGAGGCCTGCATATGGGAGAAAGACTAAATTATTTAATTACTAAACCAGCAATTGTTTGCAGTTAACCAAAGAATTCCAAATTTGGGGGGAAAATAACAGATTTAGAAAAAGAGCCATCACGAGTATTTCCCAGCTATTTTGACATATTCTGAGTTAATTGATCAATTTCCAACAATTCCTGATTTAATGAATAACCTTGGGAAGGTGAACCAGAAAAATGAGTTAAAGACAATTTACTAGATGGCACAAAATAGTTAAATATTCCAAAAACTGAAGGCAGTATATGGCACTATAGCTGTATACCTCATTACTCAATGATGGCCAAAACAGACAGTGTTTTAAATAATATACAGACCAAGTTTGACATGTTTTTTCAATGGGAATAATTTTCTATGATATTTTGGTGTTAGCATTTTACATCTCCCTATTGCACGAGGTATTATTGAAGCTGACCATTGCCATGCACTGAAAATCCATCAATAGATGCGAGACAAACAGATGGACAGACAGACCGACTGACCAACCGTCATACTTACCAATGCAGACAGACAGGCAGAGAAATAAGGAGACTGACAGGTAGATCAAAAGACAGATTAACAGACAGACACAGAAATGATTTATTACCTGTTGTATAATTTTAGCCATATCAATTCAGATATCACTCTATTAACATTAATATAATCAGAGGTAGCAAGAGAATATAGTATGTATTACATACAAATTGCATTGCATTGCCAGTTTTTAGCTAGACCCACATTTTATCTTTAATTAAAATTGCTTTATTACCTAACTTTTTCAAAATAAATGACACAGGCATCATTAACTGTACAATTATGGTTTAACCAGACAACTTCACAAAAGCTTAGGGGAGATCAGATTGTTTATGCTGCATATCTCTATGGTAACATCACACTACAGATCTCTCCCAATTTTATTAAAGGACACAGAGGCTCATATTATGCTTATCTCTTTCTTTATTATACCTCAGCAGCAAAGAGAAGGTATAAACATTCATAGAAAAAAGTTTTAACAGGTTCTCCAAGGGTTAACCCAACATCATACCCTTAACCAATAGGAACAGTCCCTCTATCTATAACTATTCATGTGACCTTTCCTCTTCCTCTTTCTTTGCTGCTGCCTCAGCTAAGTACCATCTAATTTTAGCTCTCCTCAGAGCACCCTTTTGAATTTATATTGTATTTGTTTGTTTCTGTGTCTTTAATATTTTTATGTGATAGGTTTGTGTGGGTTAATTAGCCGGTTCTTGGAGCCGGCGCCTGTCTGCCTTTAGGGCAGATAGACGTTTTCACTGGGGTTCCCTCCCCCCCCCCCTGCGGCGGTTACCCCCTCCCACACCCTACCGGGTAGTTTATTACCCGTTCTTTGTTGCCCTCTGGGAGCCGCGGCGGCCGTTTCGCGGCGCGAGCGCTCTGAATCCAGAGCCCGCTCGCGCATGCGCTATAACGGCCGCTCGGCACTGCGGCCATTTACAGTAAGCCGGCCGGGTTTTGCCGCGCTTTTCTCTCCGCCCGCCCTGTACCAGAGGGCGGGCGTTCTCTGATTGGCCAGCTGCATTGGCTGGCAGCTTACCAGTGCTCCCTGGCGGCCATTCCAGGGGGAACACTTGGTAAGCTGACAGCCTTTGTTTGTGCCTGCATCCTCCACCTGCACTGTCCACGGGGTTGCCACCCCCACTGATAACAGTAAAGACACCATTCATCACGTGCCACAGATACCACGTCCATGCTCGCCACTGCGAAAAGACGTGGCATCCATGGATCAGTTAAACTCGGAGGAGTTTCACTCACTCCTGGATGCAACCATGACCAAGTCGGTCACCCAAGCTATAGTCACGGCTATGGGGGCGATGTCTGAGACCCTGACACAATCCATTAGTAATGCCATACTGGCGTCTAACAGCCATACCAGCGGCCCCGCCCCATGGCCCAGCCTGACAAACCTGTGCCCCCCAGCGGCCGTAAGGCTACGCAGAAGACCCACCATATGGGCAAACACACCTCCAAAAACAGCACGACGGACAGGATACGCCCTGTCACTACTGAGGACGTGGGGCCCCCACGCAAAAGAGCCACCCACCGGGCAAAAGCGGTGAGGACATGGAGATGGGCAAAAGCCCAGACAGAGACATCCGACTCTGGTTCGGACATAGAGGAGGTAATGAGTGAGTCCGAGGAACTCGGCTCGTTGGAATCAGGGAACTCTTCCCCTGAGCGCAGCCTGGCAGTCATACCAGCTAAGGGAAAAGCGCCCGCGGATGATTCCACCATCCTAGACCCCCAGGGCGAGCCCCTATTCAACCCTGACGACCTGCAGCACCCCAGGTCCACAGACTGGTTCCCAGCTGACCATGTGGCCCAATATATTGCGGCCAGAATAAGGAAGCCCCTGGATAAAACAACCAGGAATAAGTTAAGGGCAGAGTGCCCACGCCCAATGGTCCCTGATATGGCGTGCGCCACGCCGGAGGTGGACCCCAAGATTGCCCAGTTCCTGGGTAAGGCTGGCTGGAAATCCAAAAAAGGGCTAGACTACTCCCTGCGCCACTGCCAGGATAAGGTGCTCGACTCCTTGGGCCCTAGCGCAAAGATCTTCGACTTGGTCGAAGAGACAATCTCAGGTGGCGCACCACTAGACCCCTTAGTGATCCGAGAGTGGGCACAACGCTCTATCTGCCTCATCGGCAACTCAAATGCCGCACTTAGTACTGAGAGGCGGAAGGCAATTCTCATGAAAATAGACCCCAAGCTGGTCAACATGGCCATAACCGAGCCTGGACCCCAGGCAAAAGGCCTCCTTTTCGGAGATAATTTTGTAAAGGAGCTGGGCACCTACGTGAGCACATTTACAGCCCTGGATAAGGCACAAACAAACCTAAAACGGGTGTTCTCCCCGAAGGTTTTTGGAGGGGCTGGCAGGTACAGGGGCCGCCTGTCCAGCCGCCCACCACGGAGCTCCCACCGGGGCTACCGGGGCCCCACGACACCAAGAGTCCCACAGGCGGAGGCCAGAACCCCCGCACCTTTCTTCCCGGTCAGGGGCAGATCATGGCAGCCCAGAGGTCACAGGGGTGCCACATACGGCCGACGACCTTATGGTAAGTGCTTTTCCTTTTCCCCTCTCTCATACCTCGCACGTAGGGGGCAGACTTTCCAAATTTATCGGGGCATGGCACAGACTCACGTCCGATGCCTGGATTCTCGACACAGTAGCGGGGTACCATATAGAATTCGTCACACACCCAATCCAATCCACAATGCCACGGCGGATGGTGTTCGCCCCTCAGGACAGGGAACTGGTGTCGAAAGAAATCATAGCACTGGCGGAGAAGGGTGCGATCTATCAGGTCGCGCCCCACTCCCCAGGGTTCGTAAGCAATCTGTTCCTGGTCCCCAAGAAAGGCGGTGGGGTAAGACCGGTGATCAATCTTCGCCCACTCAATACATTTGTACGATATCACCACTTCAAAATGGAAGGGATTCATTGCCTGCGAGATCTTCTCAGGCTGGGGGATTGGATGGTAAAATTAGACCTCCAAGATGCATATCTCACCATCCCCATTGCAAAGGAGTGTCAGCATCTCCTACAATTCAGTTGGGACTCCCAGACCTGGAGGTTTCAGTGCCTTCCGTTTGGCCTATCGTCAGCACCATGGTGCTTTACAAAACTGCTGAAGCCAGTGGTTGCGCTACTGCGCAGGAGGGGCGTCCGCATGATCATATATCTGGACGATATGCTGATCATGGCCCAAGACACCCTACTGCTACTACAACATTTAGATTGGACAGTAACTTTACTACAGAACCTGGGATTCCTAATCAATTGGGAGAAGTCGGTACTAACCCCCTCCCAGTCCTTAGAATTCCTAGGGTTCGAAATAGGGTCGGTCTTAGGGACCCTAAGCCTGCCACCCACAAAGATGAAAATCATCAAGAAGGAGATCCGCAGAACATTGGCTCGACCAACACTTACGGTCAGACAACTAGCCAGGATAATTGGACTCCTCTCCGCTTCCATACAAGCGATCTTCCCAGGGCCTTTACACTACAGGGCCCTACAGCGACTAAAAGCCGCACAACTGCGCTCAGGACACTCCTACTCAGACTCTGTGCCACTCGATCACACAGCCAAGGAGGAGCTCAGGTGGTGGCTGCAGCACATGGAAGCGTGGAACGGCAGAGCAATCTTCGGCAACAACCCAGATTGCGTAATAGAATCAGATGCCAGCACACGGGGCTGGGGAGCGCGCTGTGGACATACCTCCACGGGCGGAAAATGGTCCCTAGCAGAAAGGACACTACATATCAACTGCCTGGAATTAATGGCGGGTTCGTTTGCACTGAAGAGCCTCCTAGGTCCCGCAACACATTGCTCCATCATCCTGAGAATGGACAACGTCTCAGCCGTCCAATACATCAACCGCCTCGGCGGCACCAAGTCCAAAATTTTAGCAGATTTAGCCACGGAATTTGGGCAGTTTTGCTTAGAACGCAGCATCACAGTACGAGCCGAATACATCCCAGGACTTTCGAACACCGTAGCAGATTGGAACTCCAGACATCTGCGGGATACCAGCGATTGGTGCCTGAACCGAGAGACGTTCCTACGATTACACACTCTATGGGGTCCGATATATATAGACCTGTTTGCGTCTCGGTTGAATACACAACTCCCGGAATTCTTCAGCTGGAGACCGGACCCAGACGCGTTAGCTACGGACGCATTCCTACAACCATGGCCGAACAAACGATTATACGTGTTCCCACCGTTCGCCCTACTGGCACGAACGCTAGTGCACCTCGACCGCACACGGACGTCCCTAGTCCTCATAGCTCCATTCTGGACTGCACAGCCTTGGTTCCCTTTACTCATGGAGATGTCCATAGATCTCCCCAGACTGCTGCCCGAGGATCCACATCTCCTCTCAGACCCAGATGGGAATCCACACCCTCTGATGGCGCAAGGACAACTCAGGTTTTTAGCGTGGCTCCTTTCCGGGGTCCCTGGGTCGTGCCAAACGTTCCGCAAACAACTCTCGAACTCCTGGCGGGAGCTTGGGCTCCGGGAACACGACGATCCTACTCTAAAGCTTGGAACATCTGGAGTGGTTGGTGCATGGAACAACACGTGGATCCCGTATGTGCCACTGTAAACCACCTGTTGTGTTTCCTTACACACCTATACGACCAAGGATTGGCATATCGGACCATCAATGTATACAGGTCAGCGATCTCGGCGGGATACACTGGTATAGAAGGATTTCCAGCAGGCAAGCATCTGTTGGTATGCAAGCTCTTACGCGGTATTCGATTGGCAAGACCACCGCGACCCCGATATAGTACGGTATGGGACGTGAATGTGGTCTTAAATCTTTTGGAACTATGGCCACAGAACTCTGACCTCACGTTGAAACAACTTTCAGCGAAATTGGCCATGCTCTTATGCCTAATATCCTGCAAAAGAGTCTCGGATGTCCGGGCATTGGACGTCGACGCACGCACGTTCACTCCAACGGGAGTAACTTTCAACATTTCCAGACGTACAAAATCAGCGACAACATCAGTGTCATATCCAGCATTCCCGCACAACAAAAACCTGTGCCCAGTTGCCTGCCTCAAGGAATACGAAACACGGACACAGGTATTTCGAAACTCGGGACAACATGAACTATTTCTGGCCGTCAATTCACCACACCAGCCAGTATCTTCCATAACGATAGCCCGATGGGTGAAGTGGATAATGGCCTCTGCAAACATAGATACTTCGGTATATGGGGCACACTCCACTCGAGGAGCTATGGCATCTAAAGTATTCAACTTTATAAAGGACACGGAGGCGAATATTGGCCCACCCGGTAAGTATATCAGGCATATATCAGCGAAAGTAGAGTGACATGCCCACCCAATAAACAATAAAATAAGGGTCATTGTGGTGTCTTATTTCGTCTCGATTTAATTCGTTTTTTTTTTTTATTTAAGACAACTGTACTAGTGAGTCTGTAGTACATCAGGCTTATGCTAAGATTTAGTCACTAACGTTGTGGCAAACAGTTCCTCAGACCACATTTTACCATATTTTTCTCTATCCCATTACAGTTTAATTCGCAATACGCGACATCCTGGATGACCAGTTGTCACCGCAGTTTACGCAGACAAGTTCTTACAAGTTCGGGATATGGGAAAGTTCGACACAACGGATGAAGTGTTCCAGTGTCTTCTCAAGTTATAATGATACAGCTTCGGCATGACCAAAGAAAGAGGAAGAGGAAAGGTCACATGAATAGTTATAGAAAGAGGGACTGTTCCTATTGGTTAAGGGTATGATGTTGGGTTAACCCTTGGAGAACCTGTTAAAACTTTTTTCTATGAATGTTTATACCTTCTCTTTGCTGCTGAGGTATAATAAAGAAAGAGATAAGCATAATATTCGCCTCCGTGTCCTTTATAAAATCATGACTTTACGTCATGTAATTAGTAAAATCTGGAAATTCTGCATGTTAAACATTACCATTGATCATTTCATTTTTATACATCATGAAAAATGTGTTTGTTTTATAATACTTTGTGGCTTGAAAAAAATAGAAGACTGTGTCTTTGCCAGTATAAACAGAAAGTGGGGGCCCTCCTTGTGATTACTAATACTTTTATTGGCTGAATTACTTTTCTCTTTCAGTATCTTGCTGTTTTAAATATTTATTTTATG